GGGGGGGGGTTGTGCAGAGGAGTGGGGAATGTGTGGCCAGTGAGTGTGTGTATATTCGCGTGTGTATGCATGAGTGTAAGCGTGCACTCGTGTAAGGCGGCATGGAGCCCTCTATGAAGATATTCCCAAATGCTCTCGCATCAACTTGCAAGAGACCTAGAAGCGATCCTTGTACTCATTTTAGAGATTTGTGTCCCGGGCATCCTCTGGGACACCTGTCCTCAGGGCCATCCAACTGTGTCCTTTTCACAGCTCCAGGAGAAGGCCAACTGCTATAGGCAGACTGGCAGTGCTTCCCCCTGGCTGTGCCACCTCCCTCCCTAGCCCAGTGGCTAGCTCTAGACTCACTGCTAAACATTGCTGAATCAAAATTGTGCCACCACACTGTGAGCTGAGGCTGAGAATCACAGGCCACCTTCCCCACCTTTTCTGCCCCATCAGAAATCATGCCCTACTCCTTCCACTGAGTATGTGTGAGAGTAGGGGGTGGAGGGTGGAGGGTAGAGGCTTCAGAATCAGCTACCTCGGTCAAGACCTTGAGGTGAGGAAGCGGCCTCACCATCCACATCATGTTACAGACATTTGAAAAAGTAATGAATTACTATCTCTGGGGATAGCTGTCCCTTCTTCTCATTCCCTCTTTCATTCCTGCGCCTAATAGCCCTTTTTGCCAACAAGGAAGTTCCTCCAAATCTAGCCTGAGCATCTCCTGCAGGATCATGTCCTCTCTCTCTCTCTCTCTCTCCTTGAGTCTCACTTTGTTGCTCAGGCTGGAGTGCAGTGGCACACTCACAGCCATCTCCGGCCACCCCAGTGTCAACCTGCTGTGCTCCAGCTATCCGCCTCAGCCTTCCAAGTAGCTGGAACTATAGGCGCATGCTACCACGCCCGGCTAGTTTTTTAAAAAAAAAATTATTGTAGAGATGAGGTCTCACCAAGTTACCTGGGCTGGTCTCGAGCCTGCGGGCTCAGGCAATCTACTCACCTTGGCCTTCCAAAGTGTTGGGATTACAGGCTGAGCACAAAGCCTGGCCCTCCTTTTCTCAATGAATAGAATTACAGCAAGTTCTATCTGCATTTTTCTGCCCCTGCTGGACTAACCCTTGCTCCCCTTGACTCTGCTAAGAGATCCTGTCCTGAAGCTGTGGTTTCCTTCTGATATTTTGCTTGCCTCCAAACTGCTACCCCTCTGACTCCACACTATCTGAAGGGAGGACAGGGCAGGTACAGTAGCAGGGTAGGAGAGCACCAGGGAACACCGAGGAGGAGCCAGACCACTCTGAAGGGCAAAGTGCTTCTCTCCTCAGCTGAGCCAGGCCATCTCAGCCACAGAAGCCCCAAGGGTAAGGCAGAATTAACCTTGGAGATGTGTAGCTCCTGCCCCTCATTTTACCTACAGGGAAACAGATCTGTGAATGTGAGCTCCAGTGGTGCTCTCAGGAACAATGCAGTGGGTTTTAGGCCAGTTTTGCAGGCACCAGCTGAGTGACTTGGCCAGAGAGACCTCTCCTCTCTTCAGTAATAAAATGGAATAGGACTAAAGGGTCTGAAGTCTTGTCTGGTCCTGCCGAGCTGTGCCTATTGGATGCTCTCTGTGGGGGTTCTCAGAGGTGTTTCTCCCCAGCTCATGGGAGCTCAATTAGATGCCACAGGAGGGATGACAAACTCTACCTCACCATTCTGGTAAGAGCAATAGTGATAATAAAACCCCTTTCTAGGGACTTGTCTTGCAATTTAGCCCCAGGCTGTTTACGGAATTTGGCAATATTAATTTTTAGAGCTAACTTAAAACAATAATATGAGGTTAAAATTAGCATGATGAGGCTCAGTGAAGGAGACAACAGCCTGCCTTTCACTTCAGTGGAAAGTTTTGGCAACAGCCCAAGTTTATAGACACACACAAATGCACAAACATCTGTGTAGACACAATACATGCATATAGGGGTAGACACCCATGCAAACACACCAAAATGAAAGCACACAGATGACTCTCACTTACCTCCTGTGCACATATACATGTGTACACATGTGCACCCACACAGACACATGTGCATACACCCCAGTGGCCTGAGCCATCCTGCCAGCCTCCTACCCCTGTTCTTTGCCTTTCTGCTTGGCCTCTGCAGGTCTGTGGAAATCTTTTCCATCCACGTCTGGATTTAGTGCATCCCCACAACTTGGCCCTTGAGCCAAACATCTGGAGCAGCCTCTCCGGCTCCCTGAATGACTGATCTTCCCCTCTCCCTGCCTCCCCTGCCAGGAGTGAGCCCCTCTTCACAGAGGCCCCCAAAGCCTAGCACCAGAATGTTTAGTATGCAAAGCCAGGGTCTGTCTTCTGGGACAAGCCGTTATGTGTTTATTGTGTACTTAAGCAGGACGGGAGCCCTGCCCCCGCTCTGGTCCTGGCCCATTTCCCATAATCTGAATCCCAGAAGAGTCCCATAAAACCATCATCAGCAATGCAAAACCCACAAAACATCTGGGAGGGTCTGTAGGTTTTCTCCAAATCACCTGTGCCCTAATTTAATATGAATAACAATTAGTTTACTCTTATCAGTTAATTGTTCCCCTCATGGGTTCTGTCTGCCTTGGTCTCTCTTTCAGCAGGAGCTTTGGTCTGCTCCAAACTCCTAATGATGCTTCCTTCTCAGATCAGCCTTCCTTCTCAGCTAACCAGCCCAGAGAGGCAACACTGTCCTTGCAAGCACAACCCCCAGCCTTCACCCTGCCATTCTTAGCTGCTTGATTGCTGGGGCCTCCATTTTTAGGGACCATGCACTCCCTCCTTGTCCCCCTGGGAATCTATAGCAGTGATTTTGTTGATGAGAGTGGAAAGGTCCAACGAAGAATCCCACACCACATGGTGCATGTGCTTGCCTATCATTGTCCCGGCAAGGACGACAGCACGTGCACATGTATGTGCACACCAAGGCACCCTCAGAGAGTGAAGGAGTGAGGGAAGGAAGAACTGTCCTCTGCCTTGTCTCAGCAGTCAGACAGGTTCCCCAGGGACCCAGCTGTGCCTTGCAGTGTCTGGCAGGCACGCTGATACACTCCTGTGGTGGCTCCTCACCGGATGCATGTAGATGTTCTTGCTTTGGGTGGTCAAGTTTATGGCCCAGACAAAGGGGAGGAGACCTTCTAACCCAAGTTTTGGCTCTCGAACACCCTCTTTCCCCATAATAGATTGGAAATGGTCATTTGGTCATAAGGACTCTCAGTTTCTTCCTCTTTCCTCCCTGCTCTGGAGTAGTGCCAGCATCCTTCCTGGGCTGGCCAGCTCCTGCACCTCTAGCCTCTGCGTCCAGGGCAAGGGTGCAGCGCATAGCTTTGGAACACTTCAGTCATGTGATTTTTGTTTTGTTTTGTTTTTCCTGTGGCCAAGGGAGGCATGAGAGATGATGGGAGTAGAATCCTGCAAGTGGGGGAACATCAGAGGCAAATCTGGGACTGTCCTCTGTCCTCTTGGGAAAGTAAACATGACCTGGGCTGATTCTTGACTTCCCCAGCCACTCTGATGCCTCCTAAGAGCCTACTCCTTCTGTTTCTCTGGAGTACCTTCTAGCCCAGGCTCTGCAGCTCTTGCCCACTCCCTGCAGCCCTCCTTGCTCTTAGGCATCTCAGCAGTGAGCTACCCTTCCTTGCAGTTCCATAGCAGTTCTGGAAGCTCTTACCCATGCATGTGTGTGTTCATCTGTTCAACTCATGCTTATAAAGCTCCAGACATATGCCAGGTGGTTTGCTGGGCACCAGGGATATGGCAGGAAACAGCAGCAGTTAGAAAAGTTCACTTGGATCAGGCCCTGGGTATGAACCAGGAAGTGCCCTGTCTCCACATGCATTAATTAATGTACTTCACTCCATAAGGTGTTATTTATGAAGTGACATTA